TGCTGTTAAGATGCACAAATCTATACACAAAATCCAACTAGAATACCATAGCATCATTTTATCCTAAACTTAAAGATAGAACATTGTCTCCTATTTTTATTGACCAAACACCTTATAAGCTCAGTGATTGCTCGTGTGCATCGACAGGAGGTGATCAAAATTTCGATTCCACGTCCTGAGTTCATCAACCATTCATTCCTTCGAAAACAGTAAATTGGTTTCAGGATGGCTAGGAGAATAGCAACTTTGATTTACATCGCTAGGGCATTGCAAGTTAGTTGTGTTAGTCAGATATGCATTCATTTACCTTTAGTCATGTTTGAAGTCGAATATACTGAGTATCACTCGGATGATAAACGCTCGTTGATTTTCTCTGCATTATATTCATATGATTGGGTATGGATATGGCTTCGAAAAACCATCACATTCTATTCATCATCCTTAGCAATCGCGTCATTTAAGATGTCTCCAATTGCCTCAAATTTGTCTAATTGTCCATTCTTCATGAATAAGCTGACCGGTAGGTCTTTGTAGGCTCAGCAAAAGGTAGACTATGCCCTACTCTTGCGATTCAGTGCTTCCCCATATAAGCAAATATTGCAACAATTTTGCTGACAGATATGAAAGTAATCATAGATAGCTTTCGAGCACACGCATGGACATTAATGTTGTTCGCGATCTTAAACTCCGTCTAATACACCTTTCCTTAACACGAATTATTTAATCTATTCTAGATTCAAGCTAAAATTAGCATATCACCCGACTCATAATGTATGTAAACATGATCAGGCTTATTTTACTTCAATTCCATCCAAGCTGATGCGATAATCACTCGATTGGTTCGGCTTACGAACAGCAAATAGCGACCTTAGCTGTTCGCTTAACTTCAACTTCATCTGTGCCAGTTGATCCTGTCGTGAATACGACACATATCAAAAGTTCTTGCATATGGAATAGTCACACCGAAATTTCATTTTGATGCATAAGTTTTTGTTGGAATAGAGACAGTGCAGACACAACTTATCATGAGCAAGTTTGGCGCCATCCCCTAACGCTAACCTAAAAGTTTACATTCAGAAGCCTTATCCTACATCATCTATAGAGTGGGCAATGCTCAAGCACTAGCCGAAACAACAAGCGAAATGTCTTTGTGGAGGACGAGTGCGAGGAAACGAATCAAATGCAAGAAGTGCTAGAACCCGCCACAAAAAATTTCACCACCCTATGATGTCATCAAAAAAAAAAAACGATGAAGCTTTGGCTTTAATAAACCCTAAGGTATGCGTTCGTCTTCTTAAGGCGATTGAATGCACATCTGCTCCTTACATTAAGTTTCAGTGACTCATCGATCTATAATCAGTATTTCTGTCCTACCAGACAAGTCTGCTACCTATTCACCGACCTATGAGCCCTGAGTGTGGGATCAAACTATCGATCATTGACCGACTGATCATCTGTGTTGCAGAACACGTCTAGCCACTGTGCCACAAGTGCCCAAAATGTCATTATATTCCAAAAAATATAAATAGTCAGAGGAAAAACGAGTCTTTCTAGAGGCTGCTAAAGGTGAATAGTTTTTCAATTTGTTCATAATTTACGAAAGAATGCGATGCAAAATTATGAGATTAACCTCATAACCTTGAAAGTAAAACCCTATTAATTTTTCAGCAAAACTTCAAATTTTCACCGTTTACAAAGACACAAAGTAGAGAGAAACTTTCAGTTATATAATTAAAGTACTCTTAATCGACACGCCATTTCCAATCCTTCGCGTGATGTCAATCTCAGAAGTACAGTGGAAAGAAAGATATTTTAGGTAGAATTGTGTGAGATGTATAAAACAATGATTATACCTTTTAGCAACAGACTCCTGCAAAGGAGCAGTTTTTAGGTGGTCAGCCACAGTTCCAGACTGCAGAAATGTCCGAAAATTGAAAGTCTCTCGTCTTCTATGTGATAACTATAGGTACTAAACTTTTTAATTCTAAAAAAAATAATTCGACTTTCATAAGCTTTCTATCACCTTCCGATTCGACGATGTCGTAATGTTGAGATAAACTCCAGTTGGGTTATGATCTCATTCACATGCTAAAGTTGTCTTGTATATGGAAAATGATACTACAGATTATCAAAGGGTATATGTGTCCTCCAAATAATGATAATGAGGAAATGGTAAATTAGTGGCATGGAAAGGTTATAAACCTTTTTATTTGTAGATTTTATGTCCCATTCCACTACAGCGTAATTTGCCATGCTTGTGCTATTGATGAACCTCGTCACAATGCCAAACTTTGATCGACCTTCACTAATTATGACTGAAATCTATAGCTTACTTGTTATGATGCAGCTGGACCTCTCCTGAAATCAGGTTTAGAAATTGCAATGTATCTATGAACATTTAGGGTGCGTAACCGAGTGAATAATCACGCTCGACACTATTTTGACGCAAGGTTGACGCAAAGAGACACGTTAGATCAGTATTCTACGAGGTTTGTGAAGAATATGATATCCTCAAGCAAAGGTGGAGACGAATCGAATGCCGGAAGTACTGGGACCCGCACAGAGAGAACAATGATGTGGGTCAAGTAAAGTGATATATTAAGAATACTTAGTCACATATTCGCTGGTCTGCTCCAATCAGGGCTTTGTGATAGCTAAGGATTCCAACTCTCCAAAATCGGCAAATTCTGATCTATCTCCGAGAAGATTTTTTCAGATTCAGAAAGGCTGACGACAGCCTGTAGTGAAATTCTATACGCGCACTCGCGGGATTTCCCCATCCAGCATCAACTCAACCAACCATTCACCGGTACTCATTGAGAATAAAATCCTTATGTAGAGACTCGGTTCTTTTTGGATATCCGGGGACAAATGAATATGCGACTTCATTTGCTCGACAAAACTTGTATAGGAGTGTTATGATCATTTAAAGGCAGGAACCTCTGGCTAGCGCGACACGTGGCCGTTTTCTTTCAAAATACCTTTCTGTAACGCTGTAGAATTCAAACTAAAATTATGTTTTACAAGACCACGCATTTTTTTTTCTTTATCTCGCTTTAGTTTTGTTGCATACTTTTCACCCGATTTTCAAGCGTTAATCTTTCGTTAAAAATACTCATTCAATAACCGAGAACTTATACAACTAGAATGATCAATAGCAATTCAACCTAAACACGCCGGTCAATGATTAATCCACATTGCATGGAATTTTGCTTGTTACATTCAACATTTCGTGCGTTCTAATGAACATCAAATTTTGACATAATCTACTCTCACTTCATTATTGTTCACACTATTATACAACCAGATTTCACAACCTAAAGTATATAGCCCTTTGTCGAATGCCAGAACGCCCAAGAACACAACTCCAATGAGCACTGTTCGTTTCGAGTGTTTTCTTTAGACCACGTTTAAATTTCAAGATATTTCATGATGTTATTTGAGCCAACTTGTCATGTGGTCTGTTAATAGGCTCTTGTACAGCTCGATACACGAGTTTCGACCTTGACAGGCCCGTTAGTCAAGCAGAACCCTTCGTCCTAAATCTCGCGTCGTCGCCTACTCTCAGTCCAGGGACTGGAGCACCCCGAGAGGAATGGCTAAAAGACGATGATTTCTGCCCAACTGGCGAGAACTTTCTAGGTCCAAACACGGGTATCAAGCTGCACAAGAACTCAATAAGAAACCACTTGACATGTTAGTTTAAATAACAATTTTGAGATATGTTGAAATTTGAGCGTGGTCTTGAGATACCACTCGAAAACGAACGGTATCATATATTGCAAAGTTCCAGCTAGAGAACAGTCGTGTGTACAACACTAGTGATCGGGTGATCCGATGAGCACTATGTAAGGTAAGCAAAGATAATGTTTACAACAATTGATATGAAGCAAGCCGCGCAGGCGACAGCGAGACGCCACTTGCACATCAACGTTGACCGTCGAGGGTTTATTACCTGTGCCTGGTTGTGGATCGATGTGAATCAGGACCAATCGATGGCGGTGACTCGAATTACTCGTGGAGTGCAATTTTCTTGCTGAATTCAGATTTCCGGAAGTCCAGATTGATCGTATGACTCTGATGCACGAAGATTGTTCACGGCTAATGCTTTCGTGCTTCCAACGAAACACTTGCATGAAAATCTTCTAAACATTTTCAATAAAATCTAGAAGTCTATGAACAAACTGCAAAGAGGCGTTTTTCGTGATCACGCTTGCCTCATGCTACATCTGAAATGATTCTAATGCGAGCAATGCACATATACGAGCAATGCGAGACTGGGCATCTAGTACGGATGAGTATTGGAAACATCTGAAAAGAAGAAAATGGTTGTTTTTTCAGGAGAGCTGTTTTTCAATGCATCGAAAATTTACGAATCAATTTCTTTTCAAAATTATGAAAGTGCTTGGGATCGCGAGATGATTTGATCTACCTGGACTATCGAGTAGATACATTGCCAATTTCCGGTGAAAGTAGTAAATTCTATGAGAATTCAAGTAGTAAGCACAATGTCGACACCAGACGATAGTTGAGCCGCGTTCGATTTATACCAAGGACGCGCGCAACCACTACACCACAGAGGCAATCGCCCACACATCACTCATTCTTCAACAATTTTCTGTCAGAGCTATCAGCCACTAACCATCAACAGATTTGGTCGGGTAAGCAATATCGCTTGTAATCTCAGTTAAGGCGACAGCACATGTATTTATATAATTCCAAGATTTCTTATGTTTTTACTGCTTTCTCGCTGTGTTATGATGTTTCAAATACGCCTGAGAGAATTGAACGATAAGCGAAATTCAACATCAGCAATATATGAAACATTACAACACTGCGAAAAAGCCGTTAAAACATAAGAAAACTTGAAAGTATATAGGCCAGTGGCTGTCAACTTGACTGAGACATAAAGCGATTTTGCTTACACGACCAAACCTGATGGTAAATGGCTGATAGCTGTGATAGAAAAATGTTGAAGAATGAGCGATGAGTAATCGGTTGCCTCGACGGTGTTGTGATAGCATGTTTTCTTGGTATGGATGAACCACGGGTTAAATTCCCGTTTGAGGTTGAGTTTTCGAGTACCACTCGATTGTCTTAGGAAAATCTGAAACACCATAAAACTGAGAAAGCAGTTGAAAACATAATAAATATTGGAAACCAAGTAGTAATGCATTGTATTTTATGATTCGAACTTTTAACGAACTCGTATTTCGTGTTCGACAAAGCAGTCGATCATACTTTCGATGGCAAGGCAAAAAAGTCAATCCTGGGACCTGATGTTACCAATAGTTTGAATCATGTAGTGTATTTATGTCGACATAAGAATACAGTGTTTGATATGATATTTTTCACAATAAGTTTATTGATATCAGATTTTTTTGGGTTTGATACATTGCCTGCTGATACACCGAAAGGCCAAGGCAAATCATCATATACGCCAAATATAGAAATTCAATCATCATCCAAGTATAAGTGATGAAAGCTAAATGCACGTCTATTCATCACTGCTTTCTAAGCTCCGAGAATCAGTAGTCGATTCTTTTTTTACAACGCTTAAGTGATGTGGAGTTTGAGTTTGGGGAGGGAGTTGAACACATGTTTCAGCCTTCTAAGGCGTGTTAACTGCTGCACAATCGGAGCTTCTTTCTACTGAGACTTTGTGAAACTATACAAGGTATCGATTCTTGCATAACACTTAACATCATTGGATATATTGTTATCACATCTCACTGCTAAAAAAGTGTTTAGATAACGCACTGGAGCGTAGAAAGAAAGGGGTGTGCGAAACGGGCGTCGGTAGTGCAACGGTTCAGCACGCGCTCCCGGAAGAGTGAGATGTGGATTCGAACCCCAGCTGACGCAGACGTTTTGCACACCACTCTACATTATTGAATATGTTCAAATAACTGTTTTTGGCCTTTTAATATATATGCATCACGTTCATCACTCTTGGGTTATTGATAAACAAACAGAATAAACTGCGCTAGATCGTTCCGATTTTCCTTTCAGTGACACATTTATCTACTCATAGGGTCTCTGAAGTCTTCTCAACAGAAGCGATTACAGAATTTTTGTTACTATCGATGGTTTATTCAGCTCTTATGATATGTGTGACATAGCTGGGAAGTTTCTCCCTACATTTGAAATTTTGCAAAAATTTCTTTTCGGAAAGTTATCAGTGACGCGACTAACAAATCGATTCGATCGATTTATTTGATTCTAGTTGCATTAATATATCATTATTAAGGAATAATTACATATGAAAAGTGTTAAAAGTTGAGACACATGCAAATGTTGCAAAACACTTTGAAGCACTAAGAAACAATGCTGTATTGAGCAGTGGATTTCCTAATTCCACCGCGCCAACTTAGTAGATCCCCTTTTATACAAAATTAGTCAGGCACAAGCCTGGAGCTAAGTGCCTAGAAAGAAACTTTGCAAAATCTCTGGCAATAAATAAGTCCTCTTTTGTATTTCCAGAAAAGAGTGGCGGATCTCTTGTGAGTACCCGGCCTCTCACATTCATAGCTCAACAAGCTGGTTGTCTAAGTACGAATGTGTATTTGCTGAAAAACTGGCCTCATGTGCCTAAAGTGAAAAATGTTTTTGATACAGTAGTGATTAAAAGGAGCGAACACACGAAGTAGTTAGGTTTCTGTTCCTGCAACATAATCCACCTGCAAACGCCTTCCCTCTACAACGGACTCGATTATCTAGAAAATATGGATTAAGGTACAACGCCATCAGCCTAGCTGAGGAGATCGATTGTGAGATAATAAAAAAGTTAGCGACAACAGTTCTTGGTCAAAACAAATTAGGTGATCGACAGGGATTTCTCTTGAATAACAAACGGCTGGAAATAACTTTACTATTGAAAAAAGTGGCTGAACAGTGCATCGGATCACATCTTGTTGTTCCGCCAAAGATGTGAAGATATGATGGAGATGAAGTTAAGCCATTTCATAATAGCTATAGAAGTGTTTCAGTAAACGTCACTAAATCTACTTAGTTACATTAATTCAGGTTTTCCCACGACAGTGGTGTTGATTGATAATAATGGCGTGTGTAGGACATCACATTAGTCATCCACAAAACTACGATGGAACGAGGTGAGAGGCTGTTATCATCACTTTCCAAAATTATTCATAATGTGGCACACTTTCAAAGGCCTCACAGAACCGAAGGTTTTATCTTAGTGATACCATCTGTTATTCCAAAAGTCTACACTGACTGAGACCAAGCTTATTCATCATCTACTTCGAAAAGATTTCATATTTTGAGAAAGATGGATGAAAGCCGCCTGAGTTCAAGTGACGAAATCTTAAAATTCTCACAAAATTAAGCACCATCAAAATCAACAGGGATTTTTGGAAATTGACATTATCACCAATATCCAAAAAGAATACAACCAGCTTATCAGACAGTCAGTTGAAAAGTCTCCTAGCAGACACAGTTTGTTCGTGAGATAACTTTAGCATGACATGGGAAGGAGGCGCGAGCCACATTCAGCCTTCGGCAACACCGTCAGAATTTGGCGCAAGATTGCGGAAGAGAGTGATATAAAGAAGATTTTGAATACTTAAAACAATTTATAACCAGCGATGCAAAAGCTGCCGAAGAGCATTCGTCAAATAGTCGAACGCTCCACCCGCTCACAATACTAAGATTATTACTCTCTAGTGCGCAGACGCAACAATTAAGCCCCAAAAAGGCATTGCACAAATCATGTTTGATGAATGTTCAGATTCTTAATAGCCATGTCCTCTTACGTCGTTATGAAACATTTCTATCTCACCGTCCTCCCTAGCAAAGACCGACGAGCTATTCTGTCGGTGAAGAGTTTCAAGAACACTTTGTCTAAACAGGATAAAATGTAAATAAGTAGAGACCTGTTGTCAGCTTTCATTTTCATGTTAGCCCAATTCTCGCACGTTACTTATCAAATAGAAGGTTCTTGGTCTAACAGAAACATTAGTAGAACCGTTTAGACAATATGAAAACCCCATATGAGAACAATAAGTTTTTTATAAGTGTGAAGGATGTTGCTGCTGAAAGAGAAAAATTTCCACTGCATCGGTAACCGCGCAATCCACTTAAAGTCAGTTTTCTAGAATCTTTTTGCTCATTTCATCATGGCATAATGTTGGACGAAGGACCACTTTGCCCACAAGTAAGGTTTCGAAAGGATTAAGTATCACAAGCTGCATTTAATCATAGCAAAACGCACTGATTACGAAAATACACGGGCCGTTCTCCTGCACATTCATTTATTCTAGGAAGATTTCTGTTTAATCTGAGTATTGCTGAAAATATCACACACAAAACAGGCCAACAATCATATAGAACAGATGTTGACCGACGGCAACAACGTTGATTGATCCTCGACTCAATCTACGAAGGCGATGTTCATAGTGAGATGAATTGCCTCCAATGATCCAATTCCGTGCAATAAAATAAACATCTCCCGAGCATACTGTTGCTATTCCCTAGGGCGAGAATTTGAGATGACGAACGAATGGCTCTACAGCTGAGCTGAAAAAAACCACTTCGGAGAGCATATAAGAGCATTGGGGATGTACAGAAGAGAATATAAAACATCTGACTTAGTGCCCACTGACTTTTAACTCGTAGTTTACTTCTGCCCTGGCAATGCAGCAAAAAATGGGTGATACCTTTCCAGGATGAACGACCACTATTCGATGTTGGATGTCGAAACATTGGTAGGGATTATGGGCACAAGTGAGAAATTAAGATCCAAACCTTCAATTTGAGTCAACTGAGAAAACCAAAGATGCCGTTCTTCAAAATAACTTGTCGAAAATTGATAATTCGGATGTAATTCATTCTTACGGCAAATGATGGGCAGCTACCGTTAATGACTGGATTGCTCGGATTGTTACACCCATAAAAAAAAACTTCACCGACCCGATCGTTCAACTTATTAGCAGCAAGCGCAAAAAGAAGATATGATGCTCAACGATTTGCTAGAGCAAGGATGAACCACTGGGCTACTCCTGCACGCAGAGAGTTAAAGATGGAGGGTTTACAATTATCCGCTAAAGCCAGTCGACGATTATTTGGAGGACAAGCGGTGCAGGTGATGTCGATAGTACGTATGTAAGAAATATTTCTAGACATAGATCACCAAATCCGTCGCGTTATTTCATGACCCTGCATGATTAAACAACATACAATTGATTTTTCATGTGAAGGAATGTCAGCGAATCCTCGAGTTGTGAGTCGTGTCACACGTGAAATTGAGAGTTTGAAGTTATTTGTAATACAAGTAACCAACGCAAAAGTTTTTTGCCTTTGTGATATCATACTATGGTATCACATTCAGCCATAATCCTTCTCTTCAAATGCCAAAATCCCAATTATGAACTTCTTTCAAACTGACCCTATATCTATTTAGTGACGTGATTATCATATATATATATGGTCCGGGTGCTCAAAGGCGCACACCAGCGATATGTTCATTTTTGGTCCACCCTACAAAAAACGACGATGTAAGAGTAAAGGATAAAGTTTGGGACATTTAAGTGTTTGAAAAACGAACAAAATAAATCATTTAGAGCTTTTTTCTCACTGAATAGGATAATTATACTTTATTCTTATTCACCATTAGATCAACTCCTTTTCGCCGTCGCAGTGTCGTTAAACGGCGATGTAGTTTACACCTTCGGTGCCGCTGTTTGGAAAATTGAACGATGTAGAGTCCAATGTAAGTTATTAATTTGAATATAGGACACGACTACAAAATTTAACTTATTTATGATGTCAGCACATTACGACAAAAAGGCATGGATCAGTAGGTAAGTGATTGATGAAATCAAATCCATTCAACAATGAAACATGGGACTGCACAAGACTTTTGGCGAAAAAAATCAAGAATGAATTTGGAAACAGTGCAAAAAATAGTAATAAAACGCATCTGAAAAAGCAAACAAGTGAATTATACTATGAAAAATATTGCGGATTTAGGTGAATACGTAATAATCATGGGAATGACTGCTGACAGAGGAATCAGCTTTGTGGTACTGGGAAGCTTTAACGGTTTATTCGTAT